AACACTCCAGCAGAACCAGGCTCAGTGTGAGTGGCCATCTGCCGAGGCCAACTGCCGTTCAAGGAGACAGAAGCAGAAATACAAAAAGCAGCTGTAAAAGGCGGCCCCATCCAGGAAACACACAGCAGGCAGACGAGCTCCGAGCCAACTCCCATGTCAGAGGATAAAGAGAGTACATCCAAACAGCTTGATTACCTCCTCAGTTAAGGCAAAGTTTTCAAGACTTCTGCAAAGGACTTAAATATGTGATTTAAGTGTGTTAAAGCAGAGACATATCTAAAAGCTACAAGCCACTGACCCTTGAGAACTGGATACTAATATTCCTGACCAAAATTGTTCCATGAAAACTCAGGCAATGTTCTGGGATGGCTCCACTTTTTATTGATTATACCTTATTGATCTCACACTGGAGAAATTTACCTCTGCATTTAACCCATCCCCCTTGGGGAGTGGGCTTCCATTGTGCCGCACCCGGGGAGCAGTGTGGGTTTAAGGGTTTTGCACAGAGTGCAGGCTGTGAGGATCAAACTGGCTACTTTCAACCTTCTCAGATCACAAGCATACTGCTCTAACCACTAGGCCAGTGGTGTCCAAACCTGGTCCTCATGATCTACTGTCCTACAGATTTTAGATGCATCCCTGCTTCAACACAACTGAATCAAATGAATGGCTTGAAAAGGTAATCAATCATTTGATTCAGCTGTGTTGAAGCAGGGATGCATCTAAAATCTGTAGGACAGTAGATCTTGAGGACCAGGGTTGGACACCACTGCACTAGGCCATCACCTCCCCAAGCACTTGGTAGGTTCTTAAAGGGTTCAATGACGAATTAAATTAAAGAACTCATTGAGTTAATGACAGAACAATGTTAAGTTCTACATGTTTCATGAATTTAGCTTTTAACCGAGGTTGTATGTTGCATCAGTGTTCCAGAATGGTTCCATTAAATCACCTGGGAAATTGCTGGAGAAAATTCTCAGTGATCCAGGTCATAGTCAATCCCCCAAAAAAGTTTAAAAAAACATGCAAATTGAAATCCATTCATTTCAATTATCATGTTTTCTAAAGACTTTGTTGGGCTACTGCACAAGAGCCTAAAGCTCTACACTATTTCTGAGATTTGAATTGAAAAAGCTTCCTGGATGGGAAGTGAAAAGTCTTCAAACATGGAAACAAAGTCCAGTGGTTTGTTTTTCTTGTTTAGCCTTTTTGGGACTGGAAGTTTCACTGATTTTCTGAGAATGTTCTGAAGACCAATATCTAAAGTTCTAAGCTGAGGAATAGTATGGGCTCTGTCATACAATGGTATCAAAACATGAAGTGCAGAACAGTAAAAGAGAGAAAACAAAGAGAAAGTAGAGACCAGTTGAGGCATGAAAGGAGTGTAAGAAACCCGTTTGACGATAATCAGTATCAAACAAGGCATCATGAAATGTCAGCAAACATTTGATCAGCTCATTGCTCAAGTTTCTGGTGGAGAGCCGGTGGGAAAAAAAAGTGTAATTAAAACAAACAAACATTCTTTCAACATACCAATGGTGGAGATGTATGTGGAGTTGAAATTGTCCTCTGCAAAACGGATGATGAGGCATGTTTTACCCACTCCGCTGTCCCCTATCAGCAAAAGTTTAAAAAGGAAATCGTACTTTTTCGCCATGGCTGAAGATACTCCTCAGCTCAGAGAGGAGGAGAAGGGGGGTAAGATAGCCTTCTCTTGAAAAAAAAAACTGTTATAAAAAAAATCTCCACGTTTCTTTTCTTAGGGCTAGCAGTTTTCTTCCCTCCCAGCCTGTTCACCGGTAAATTCCGCTCCCCCTCAGAGCCTCAGTGAGTTTGGACAGAGCGGCAATAAACTCCATCCAAAGTTAAACTGTTGGTTCAAACTTAGAGCTTAAACGCCTTATCTGTTAATACTTCATTATTCTACTCTGAGCACATCAAAATCACACCGTTAAAAAACACAACGGTAACGCTAAGTGGTTTCAGGCTACAAGGGGGGAAAAAATGGCCCAAATTCCACCCTGGCAGAGAGCTCAGCAGAGTGGGAGTGATTTATGGGTGTGACCATTTACCCTGACTGGACGCTAGATGGCGCCACTAGAACAGAAGCTTAGGTTATTTTTCTGGGTTAAAAAAAGCGCTCCTCACAAATGTTTATGCTGCAAGGTTTCCCCATAGACATATGAACGGAAGAGGATAAGGGCCACTGGAAAAAAAAAAGTTAACTGATTTTTAAATTTTATTTCAGTTAAATATGGATATGGGTTTTCCCATCCAAGATTATTTGAAATGTGAAAACATTAGATTGTTTGACCTAAAAAAAAGCAAATGATTGTGATATAATAGTAAATGCATTTATTGTAGTACTCCAAAAATTACAATTCATATTCTAAACTGATATACCCTCAGCTTCTGTTATCTTATTCATTTTGATAATGATATAATAATTCAGTTTCTCAGAAAATTTGTCCAGAAGCTTATTGGACATATCTATTTATTTAGTGCAGGAACAGCCATGGTTCAGCTATTATAATAAACCTCAATATAGAATAGATGCTTCATTGATGGGACTTTTTTTTTTTTTTTAACAGTGTCCTGTCTGGCAATGTGGCAATAAGAATATTTGTCTTGAAGCCAAAAATAGCCCAACAAATTTTACTTTCACAAGGGGACTAGTACGGCTATCACCACAGTGTTCCGCTTGATTAATGCATATAAATTGCAATGTAAGTAGAACAGGAAAGGAAAAACAGAAAAAAAGGAGAAAATATAAAAGAAAAAGGAAGTAAAAGGGAGATAACGATAAAACATCTTCAGTCTGCTTGCATCAGCTGTAAAGAGATGTAAAAAGAACAGCACAACTAACAGACATGGTACAAGACATACAATAATATATATAATTTATTAATATATCCGTGTAATATTGATGGGACTAATAAAAAAAATAAAAAAATAAATCTGTCCTCTTCCATCTTTTCTCTGTGATCCAGTAGATCTTGTACATGTCTAATAATAATATAAGAATTGATAAAAAACAAAACAAAAACAGATGTCAGATTGAGATACAACTATGATTGTAGATATGCATTCCTTCAGCATGTTAGACATTAAATAAGCAACTATTTTGTATTTTCAATTCAATAAAATAAAGAGATTGGTCTTAAACATATAATTAAGGGGTACTTTAAGGTTCACTTGTATATTGTAACGTGTGTGTATATATATATATATATATATATATATATATATATAT